GCCCTTTGAGAATCTGTGGGGAAAGAAGAGAGGCAGCTTGCAGAGCACCACACAGAGGGAAGTCCTGCTGCTCAGAGCCAGTCCAGGGAAGGAATGCGAGGCCAGGGAAGGAGAGACGAATTCAAGCCCATGGGGGAGACAGCAATGCCGCCCCCAGGCCAAAAGAGAGGAAAGGGAACCAGAGGGAATGCCAGTGGCAGGAGAGAGGCTTAAGATGGAAGCCGGGTCCTTGAAGTGGCTATTTTATTCTCTTGAGCCTGCAACCATGGGAGAGACTGAGGCAGTGTCCAGAGGAACGTCGGAATGGCCGGGGCCCCTCATGCCTGTGGAACAGCAACAACTCACAGCTGTGCCTGCTTGTCCCGGGACAGAGCCTCTGAGCCGTTCCCCCGAGAGTCCCTCCTTCTGCAGGAAAGATGCGGGGCCTGGATGTACACAGAGGAAGGCGGGCCCAAGAGCGGGGAGCATGGCTTCTGCTGAGAAAAGTCAGGCCCAGAAGGCGGGGCTCTGACTGGAGTCACTGCGGCTCTGCAGGGTGATGGTGGCAGAGAAGGACCCCCAGCTGGGCGCTGCTGCACAGCAGTCAGCCTCTCCCATCAAACCCACCCGGCAAGGGTCTGTGTGGTGGGGCCTGCCGGCCGGGAGGTCCAACCCATGGAATACGCTGCAGGAGCCCTGGACGCCCTCCAGCTCCATGAGTCAGTCTCTCCCGCAGCAGCAGCAGGCCTGGATCCCCCAAGGTGCTGTTCCGCACTCAGAAGCCCCACCTCCAAGGGTCCACAGCTGGACAGCTTGGTTCAGCCAGGGAGATGAGACTTCCCTTGGGCCAGAAGCTTCCCAGGAATAACAGCAGCTAACACCTATGCACCACAGTGACTGCTCTGTGTGTGCTGTGTAATTTAACTCGACACCAACCTCAAGAGGGAGGAACTAGGATGCATTCCCAGTTTCCAGATAAGGCAAAAAGCGAAGTGAAGTGACTTGCCTGCGGTGCTGGGTGGCCTGGGAGCCACACCTGGGCAGAGTTCAGCCACACCACGCTGGGATGGCACCCTCCTCAAAGCTTCTGGGCAAGGTCTGTCTCGTTTCTTGTTTTCTCACTAGCATTTAATGTTTCAAACTCCCTCCCTCCCTCCCTCTGTGTATCTCTCTCTCTCTCTCTCTCTCTCTCTCCTCACTCACACACACACGCGCATGCGCATGCCGACAGCCTGATACATTAAGCATGCAGCTCCAACCCGTGTCTGCCTCCTGCCTATGAAATTGCGTGTACCGATTACTTAACTGAACATACTGCAGGCTTTCAGATAACTTTTTGCTGGAGGTTTGGCTGTTCTATACTGTACAACTGAGGATCAGAAGTAGCTGTCCCAGGAAAGCCAACAGTCTCTTGTGGAATGCTTCTCCCATTTGAAAACTCGTGCCTTTTTTTTTAATGGCAGAAGTGATTCAGAAACAGTTTAAATCATTATCCGTTTTTAAAAGCTTGATGCACTGGTTCCCCTTTTCATCTTGTGCAAGAAACTACACCTATAGCACAAAACATTGCTTTGGCATTACACAATGGTGGGAGTGAACAGGATTTCTTCCGAGAAGCCCAGGTTATGGCACTTGGATACTCATAGCTGGCTTAGGGAGATGCTGAGCCGGGAGGTTTTAGAACTGGCTCTCCCGGACGCCACCCAAACCCCAGTCACATCCCCTTCTCCTGTGTTAACTCCTCAACCAGTACTTTTCCAAGAAGGCTCTCCAAGTCTACGACTCGGAAAAAGATTCAAATCCCAGCTGGGAGCTAACTCATAAGACTCTTTATGGCCCGGTTTCCTCATCGGTGAGACGGAAACAAGGCTCAGGATGAGGCAGCAGTGCCCTTGCCAGCACCAGGATGTTCCTTGGAAACTCCAAAGAACCAATCGGATGTCCATCTACAAGACAGCTGTGGGAATTCACGAGACTGGCCGGGGTGGAGCCGGCAGAGACCAGGGTTCTCTCCAGCTCCAGAGGCTGTGGAGGAGTGACTGTCAGGAAGGCCTCCTGGGTTCAGTGCCAGCCCAGTGTGATGTGCAGGGTGGGGTTTGGTCATTCAGAGCTCTGTCCCTCACCCTGGGCAACCTAAGTGCTTTGGACCTCAGCCCTGTATCTGTAATGAGGCCACTGACTACGTGACTCATCAGGCCACTGACTACGTGCCTTCAAACTCGTGGAAAAAAAAGACATAAATGGGATTCCTCCAATTAATACACAAATTGCTTCCACACAGGTTTCTGGGTGGAGATGGTGAGAAACCACACTCAATCATGGTTTCCAAATTGAGTCTAAAATAAATTTTAAAAATTAGTTTTCGAGTTAAAAAAAATTAACTATTGCCGGGCTCGGTGGCTCAGCCTGTAATCCCACGTCTTTGGGAGGCTGAGGTGAGTGGATTGCCTGAGCCCGCGGGCTCGAGACCCGCCTGGGCAACTTGGCGAGACCTCATCTCTACAATAAATCAAAAGATTAGCCGGGTGTGGTAGTGCACACCTGTAGTTCCAGCTACTCGGAAGGCTGAGGCGGAAGGATCGCCGGAGCCCAGCAGGTCGAGGCTGCGGTGGCCGGGAGCAGCCACTGCACTCCAGTCTGGGTGACAGAGTGAGACTCCAACTCAAAAAAATAAAATAAAATAACTATTACCTGATAATTAACTTTGCCTGGCTTCTATTTGATCTCATGGTTTACGTTTAGACACTTTACATTTCTGATTGTTTAAACTTGATCAATAACTACATTTGTAAAGCATCTCCTAGTTTTGTCAAAGTAGGGACCACATCAGAAACAAGTAAATTGTTGGTGAATGACTGTATGTTAAAAATTAAAAATAAATTCCATCGAAGCTAATTCTACACAAAATTGGATTGCTCTTTCTAGTATTTTCTCCTCCTTTAAGCATCTTTCTTCAGCTCTTGCTTTGCAGCTCCATCTCAAGTCCTCATTGGCATCTCTTCCGGATAGTTTCTGATGACTGTGGAAAGATGAACCATCTCGTGCACCCAAGAAGATGGTATCCCTCTGTGGTAAAGACAGTAGGGCTCACCAAGCCCTCCAGGTGTTCTCCTACGTGTCCCACCTCCCCTGCACTCAGGTCAGGGCTATGGACTGTGAATGGAAGTGACTTGTGTCACTTTGGTCTGAGGCAGTTGGGGACAGTTGTGAATTCTCCTTATTCTCTTTACCATCACAGTGACTTAAGGAAACAAAACAAAACTGAGAAGGCCAAGTTGTGAGATAGAAGCTGCCTGGAGCCATTGTCAGAGGAAAGCCACTAAGGAGTAGGCTGACTTGCCTGTCATATGAATGAAAACTAAAATTTCAGTGACTGAGGTTTCTTGGTTTGTTACTTCAGTCTACCCTAGTTTAACACATCTCTTCCGGCAGGGTGTGGTGGCTCAGCCTGTAATCCCAGCACTTTGGGAGGCTGAGGCAAGAGGATTGCCTGAGCCTGGGGGTTCGAGACCAGCCTGGGCAACTTGGTGAGACCTCATCTTTACAATCAATCAAAAAATAAGCTAGGCATGGTAGCACGCACCTGTAGTTCCAACTGCTTGGAAGGCTGAGGTGGAAGCATCGCCTAAGCCCAGCAGGGTGGCTGTGAGTGTGCCACTGCACTCCAGCCTAGGCAACAGAGTAAGACTCCAACTCAAAAAAAAAAAAGACATCCCTTCCAAGGTATTTAAATGCCAATTCTAGGAGAAAAAAGCAATGCAAAACACAATGTATACAACCTCTCCTAGTGGAACTGTAGACTTCAGTAGAAGAAGAGGTTTGGCGTCAGGGAACCTTCTCAATTCCATTGAAATCAGGATACATGAAGCAGTACTGCATGCTGCCTATCGGTCCTGTGCTGCACGAAGAATTAAAAGTGCTCCAAAGAAAGAAGGACTTTTTTTTTTTTGAGTTGGAGTCTCCCTCGGTCGCCCAGACTGGAGTGCAGTGGCCGCCCCCAGCAACCGCAGCCTCGCCTGCTGGGCTCTGGCGATCCTTTGGCTTCAGCCTTCCAAGTAGCTGGAATTACAGGTGCGCGCTACCACGCCCGGCTGATTTTTTGATTTATTGTAGAGATGAGGTCTCGCTGCCCAGGTGGATCTCGAACCTGCGGGCTCAGGCAATCCACTCACCTCAGCCTCCCAAAGGCGCGGGATTACAGGCTGAGCCACCGAGCCTGGCAAGAAGGACATTTAAAGACATTTTTCCTTTAAGCAAAAAGTCACCAGGCCCAGATTCTAGAAAAAAGCAAAACGAGGAAACTAATTTTCTAGAATGATCTTGAAGAAACAGTCACCTAGTATCAAAGACAAAAATCCACCCCCCCAGCTTTTTCCCTGCCCTACCATATACTATCAATTTCCTATTATTAAAATACCTGCCTAACTCTCTCTAAAATTCCACAAGGGCCTAGAAAATTTGATAATTTGGGCCCATTTAGGAATCCATTGGGAAATAATTCTGGGAACTTTTTGGAAACAGTATCATAGATGACAATACTTTGTCTGTTGAATGAGTTGGCTTCAGATCCAATGCCTTTTGGGAAATTACATAGATTAATTTGCAAGGATTATAAGTTGAATTCTTTTGGGAATGTCTCTCCTCCCTCCACAGAAGTCTTCCTGGCTTCCAGGTACCACTGGAAGGTTTCAAGAAGGATGCAGATGGGAACAATCATAGCGTGGAGGAAAGGTTCTTAGAGAGAAGGCACTCTTGGGTACCTGGGGTCCTCAGTCTAAGTTGAATTTTATTTAAAAAAAAAAAAAAAAATCCCCGCTGCATGATTCCTATGAATAGCAACCTAGCAAGGACTTCACTTCTGACTGCAGTTTCCAAAGGCTCATGACACTTGCCAGTAGGGGCAAGGATCCCCTTCTAACTCTGTCACTGGCTTACCCTCCAGCAGATCCAGAGTGAGCTTCCAAAAAGCTTGCTGACATACCTGTTCCCCAGAACCCACCTGATTAATACTCCGGATACAATCCCTTTGGGTCTGGCAGCACAAGCCAACCAAGTCCCAAACCAGTTTATTAGTTTAACCAAAAGGTAAACAGATGATGGAGATGCAGAAAGACAAGCATGCGAGCAGCTAGAAGCATGACCCGGCTGTCCACCAGGAAACACGTGTCAGACATTTAAAGTGACATTAAATAAACGAGGCTATGTTTCATCTATTTGGAATTTCCATTGTCTTTAAAAAAGGTAAATATATATATTTTTACATTGCAGTATATAAATCTAGACTCTACATATACAGTATAAATACACATGGCGAGCACAGGGCACAACATGTATGTCTTGAAAGTCACACACTAAGCCAGGCCAATAGCTTTATGCTTTCTTTTTGACCTGCACACCAAGGCTGAGGCTACATTTACTTGAATCTCCATGACAGCTGCCACCCTGGCCATCTCTCCACCCAGCACAGAAGCACAAATCAGATATGCCTTGAACACAGAAGAAAGTGCTTTTCAACTAGTTGACCCCCAGTCGGTCCTTACAATGCACAGTCCTGTCGCATAGAAAGATGAGAGGAAATCAGAGGACTTCCTGGCTCATTCTTTGGTCCATTGCCACAAATCTCTAAACCTTCCCTGGTGCTTCTTACAGAGTTCACATGGCTGTTTATGCAACATAAACCCACACAACCTTTGAGAGCTGTCTTAACAGCATTAGGAGAGAAAAAAAAAAGCTCCATGTTACAATCTGCACTTCATATTCCGGGTTCGTTCTCTTTATTTTTGGAATAAAAACTGGTATTTTCAGAATTTTTTCTTAAAAAGGACAACATTCTGAAAGTGCTTCTTACATATGTCAATATTCCACATATGGCTTTTAGTTCAAACCTCAGCACAGCTCAGATATGGGAGAGTGAAATGTTCTTACTAGAGACAGAAAATGTCACTTAACAATGACACTGTGATAGCAAGTGTGGGGACCTGGAAAAAAAAATGTTACTAACTCCATCTGGAAGAATGTACCTCTCTGAGAAATGATTTAGATAACATATGTAGCCCCATCTCTTTCCCCATGACATGACTAGGCACAGTAATGCTATAAGAGTTAAGAGTAAATTCGGATGCCGTTATCAACAGGGAATGTCTTCCAAGGGGCTATTCACAGGGCAGTCGCTGTTCAGAAATCTTTCACAGGCTCAAAATGATCAAATGTAGTCAATCGCAGTAGAAATTTCCACACCTGAGAACAAATTGCACATAATATGGAGGTACCAGGATCCAGATGGCAGAGGACTCCAGACACACAGCTGTACATGCAAAAGGCAATCAGAAAAGGCAACGAAGTCGTGACATTCCAAGACAGATCAGGGTCCAAAGGAGCTGCCATTCTCTCGTGCTTTCTTTTCTGGCTGAAGGTTACCAAAGAACACAGCTATTTGTGCAATAATGATTATGATATGTTTGTTAGGGGTTAAAAAGAAACACAAAGGGGTTGCCAGAAACTGCAATGAGCTTGTGTCGACCGCAGAGGTGTCGTGATGGCTAGGCCAGCGAGGCACACGGGGCTCTTGAGCGCCCTTGGCCTTTCTGGGGCAGCAGAAAGTGGCAAATGCAGGCAGAGGTCAGAAGCCACCGACTCATCCAAACCCTTTCCAGAGTGGTCCTTCATTCAGCCTGTGGCAGTTCCAGCCTCTGCAGTTGTTTTTTATCTGGTGGCACTTGATTGAGAAAGTCATCCTCTCCCCTTATAAAAAATAAAGTTTGGACTTCTTGTAATACTGGCACAAAGGGCACTCTATTCCCAGGACTGATCCCCTTTGCTTGGAAGACGTGAGCCTGGGTTTTAGTTCCTTCTCCTTCCCTGTAAAAAGTGACCTCAACTTCTTAGGCCGTTGTGCAAATCTGTTTTTCCATAGTCCAGAATCTCCCATAAAGTCCCTCTTATACATTTATATATATATATATACACATACATACCACATATGTGTGCATATATATTATAAACGGGAATCATTTTGCACTTGTCTCAAATAAGTCAAAGAGAATCAGTGAATCGCTCATCCTTTTCCCACCAAATTCCTTTCCAATTTCGCCCCAGTGCCTACCATAGTGCTTTGCACACCACAGGCACTCAATATCGGCGACTTCACCCGTGATCCTCTAACACTGGATGGTAGTTGCAATCATCACAGCCTGTCCTCAGCCACACTCTGCCGTTGGCAAGTGAGGGGCCACGGTCCCTCCCCTCAGAGGGTGATTTTGCTGTGTCTGTTACTCCAGCAGCCCCGTTTAGCTGTCCTGGGCAACGTCAAGCTGGTCCGGCTACGCAGTTTCACTTGTTCTTCCATGGAGTTCTTTTTGCGTAAGATGAAGTCAAAGTTCACTTGGCTATTCATGGCATAAAAGACATTGGCAGAGTCTGGAATCACAAGTTCTGAAAAAGACAAGGAAGGAGAAGGTAGTCAGCTTGTGGGGGTCAGCCCAGGACTGACAGTGGTAGGTAGAAATCCTGCCTAGATCCAAAGCTGGGACCATGGCCCTTCGTCCCTGGAATGTTGCACCTAAACCAGACAATGACCATCGCCACTACCTTCAGAATTGGCTCCAACAACTTCACAATCCCAATCTTAAAAATTAAGTGCAAAAACGATTTGAGAAATTCACCCCTTGTGCAGGGCATGATGGCTCACGCATGTAATCCCAGTCCTTTGGGAGGCCAAGACGGGAGGATAACCTGAGGCCTGGCATTTGAGACCAGCCTGAGCAACAGAGCAAGACCCCCATCTCTACAAAAAAACTTTAAGAATTAACCAGTTGTGGTGGCATGCATCTGTAGTCCCAGCTACTCGGAAGGCTGAAGTAGGAGGATTACTTGACCTGTGCGAGTTCAAAGCTGCAGGGAGCTATGATTATATCACTGCACTCCAGCCTGGGCAACAGAGTGATACTTAAATAGAAATTCAACCCATGAACTAAATGTTCAAATACAGAATGTTAAAGCTAGAAGAATGTATAGTAGGGAACAGAAGCCAAGAGAAGCTAAAGGATATCCCAAGATCACAGCTGGAGACTGGCCCTGCTAGGATCGGAACCCAGGTTCCCTCTTCCTGCAGAGTTCATTTCCTACTCCACTATGTAGATTTTCTCAAAGATGAAGATAATGAAATGACGTGGAAAGATCAGAAAATCTACAACATTCCAGAACACTTTACTTACAACATCAAATAATTTTTTAAAGTAATCTCACATTAAACCAGCGTTTTTTTCCATTTGAGTCACTGCTTCATTCAGAACTTGTACTTTAATATTAAACAGCATTCAGCTTAAGACAGTGTAAGTGTGCTAACATTCCAACTATTTTCTTTTTTTATTTTCAATAAAAATAACTTCAATGATCCCACCTGGATATCTGTCGTCTTGAAATTATCAGTTACTTTGATTCACTTTTGTTTTTAAAAGAAAGTGTATAGTATTTGGCATGCAGGGGTCATGGGTATTTAAAAAAAAACAAATGGGATTAAAAACAAAAGAAAAGGTCAAATGTTCAAGTCTAGCCTTGTGGTGGTCAGGAGATAATCAGGGATGCCTCCGGTTGTGGGCCTAGATAAAGTGAGCCTTGAGGTAACCTGAAATGCTGAGATCCTGCAGCAGGGCTGATTGTGTTCAGGTTCTAAGTAACTGTGATACTAACAGTCCCTAAAGAACAACTCCCTCGAGGGGCTTCATGCTCCTGCCCACATATTCCCAGCTCGGTAACAATATTTCTCACAGTTACTGATCACTCAGTTCTTTCCCAAAACCCTTTCAGTACATATTTCCTGTTATCTATGAATCACCCTGTGACATATTAGAAGCCAGTGGGGCACTGTCTCCATGTAACTATTTAAGAACCAAGGCCCAGAGAGGTCAAGCAGCTTGCCTGAGACCACATACCTGGTGGGCAGAGCAGGATCTAGGCTGCACCTTGAGATTTCTGGATTTTTAGACCTACTGACCTCACCTTAGTGCTGTGTTACAGGCAATGTGGTAAAACTCGAGACTACTTTTGGGGCTTAGAATTTTAACTACAACTACATTTAGAGGTTATAACTCAGGAAGTTTTGCCCTACGGCCTGGGGCTCAGCTGAGTGAGTGAGAAAATGTCTAAGAGGAAGCTGAAAAGGGATTTTCTCAGAGGCTGTAGCTTTTCATCTCTAGGAAAAGGTACTATTCTAATTTCAGCCACTCTCCTCCAAGCTCTGGGTGATGTGCTGGTCCCATAGCCCAGCTTGTGTAAGTCTTCCTTTCACAGGTAGGGGGCGCTGCTTGCTGGTGAACAGAGCCCTACATAAGATGTGTGCGATGGTTGGAGTCTGTCAGCAAAAAAGGTTGGCCTCGGTCAACAATATTTGCTGCTCCTGCATTTGAAGAGACTTTCCTGACAGAGTCACTTTCTATAGCATGACAAGTTAGGCTTATCTGTCACCCTGTTTCCTCCTATCAACAAACACAACCCCCATTCAAATGAGCAAGCAGATACATTCAGGGGTGACTGACTATCTGCACAGTCTTCACGACAGGGATTTCTTTAAATGACGTGCTCCCAGGCTTGTTGAAGGCCTTTCCCAGATCACCAGCTCTTAGTCTCAATTATTGTGAGAAAAAGAACCTCTGAATTAGAGGCGTTTGCCATTTGAAGGCTGGTCATGAATAAAGATGCAACCTCTCATAAGTGATTAACTGAAACAATGAGAAATGATGATAGGAACTGCTGTGTCTCAGGTTCGCCACATGACTGAAGAATGCATTATGGGGTAAGGGAAACCTGTGGCCATCTGTAAAACCCAACAGACTCCCCTCCCACCTCCTGACATGGGGAGAGACCTCGTCCAGAAAACTCTGGATGAGTTCATAAAGCTTGAGCAGAAGAAACACTCAGCAAAACCGCAGGACCAACAGGAGTTGGAGGTGGGGAACACCCTGCCCTAAGAAGGAACCCGGCCCACCTTTGTCCTCCGAGATGACCTGCACCAGCTCATACTCCTCGGCCGGGTCCGAGTCCAGATTGTGCTTCAGCATGGCTCTCTGGATCACGGCAGGGGTCTTATCCTGGCTCGTCAACTGCAAAGACAACAGATGGGTTTGTCCAGCGTTTAGCTTTGTGTATGCTTCCTGAGAGCTTCCCTGACCTTCTTATTCTGCTGTCTTGTGCTGTGCAGGCCTCTCCGGGAAGAATGGACGCATGGAATGAGAATGACTACTGGGTTCCAGTCATGGCTCCATCCATAGTAGAAAAGATGACAGTCAAGTTGCCTTATTTCTGAGTCACAGTGTCCTCCGCTATTAAAATGGAGAAATATCTGCCTTGTCGATCTCCCCCACACTGGTTAGAGGCCCAGTCAAAGAATACACATGTAAAAACCGTCAAGCATTACCAGTTCTGAGCCCAAATTATCCCACATGGTGAACAGCATCTTAGCACTGGTTATGACCTGTGAGGCAAAAATGGCTACAGTTCTGCCTATTGTCCATTTCAAAAGGCACAGAGACCCTATGCTCAGCAATTTCACTCGTAGGTATTCACCAGGAAGAATAAAAATCTATGTCCACCAAAACACTTGTACACAAACATTCACAGCAGACTTATTCTTAACAGCTAAAAACTAGAATCAATCTGAATCCCTACCAACAGGAGAATGAATAGAGAAATTGCAGCATATTCACAACAGAATACTACTGAGCAGTGGAAAGGAACTAAGAACCAACACATGCAACAATGTGGATAAGCCTCAAAAAACATTATGTTCAGCAAAAGAAACCAGGCACAGGATGACCTTCTCTCAGGTCCCTTCCTATTGTGGGAGCTTTCTGTCTTAATAAATTCTACTTTAGGTTGGGCACAGTGGCTCATGCCTATAATCCTAGCACTGTGGGAGGCCGAGGTGAGAGGATTGCCTGAGCCCCCGGGTTCAAGACCAGCCTGGGCAACTTAGCAAGACCTCATCTCTACAATACATAAAAAACAAAAACAAAAACAAAAAACTAGCTGGGCATGGTAGCATGTGCCTGTAGTTCCAGCTACTTAAAAGGCTGAGGCAGAAGGATCACCTGAGCCCAGCAGGTCGAGGCTGCAATGACTGTGAGTGTGCCACTGCACTCCAGCCTGAGTGACAGAGTGAGACTCCCACTCAAAAAATAAAATAAAATAAATCCTACTTAAAAAAAAAAAAGAAAGAAACCAGGCACAAAATTACATATTGGCAGGACACCGTGGCTCACGCCTGTAATCCCAGCACTTTGGGAGGCCAAGGCGAGAAAATTGCTTGAGCCCAGGAGTTCAAGATCAGCCCAGGCAACATAATGAGACTTGTCGCTACCAAAAAAAAAAAAAAAAAAATAGAAAAATAAGCTGGGCATGCGCAGTGGCATGTGTCCGTGGTCCCAGCTACTTCAGAGGCAGAGGCAGAAGGATCGTCTGAGCCCAGGAGGTTGAGGCTCTAGTGAGCCGTGATTCTACCACTACACTCCAGCCTGGGCAACAGGGTGAAACCCTGAATCAAAAAAAAAATTACATATTACATATTGTTGGAGTCTATTCTTTTAAAAACAGGAAAACCTGATCTGTGGCATGAGAAAACTAACTTCAAGGTTAAGGAGGGCTTGAGTGTTAGGGGCACAAGGGAATTTGGTTGGCAGAATAAGAATGTTATTTACCTATGTTTGGGATGGTGGTTACACACATGTAAACAGTTATTAAAACTCAAGAAGTGAAGATTTCAGATGTAATATGTAACTGTATGCAAACTATGCTTTAACAAAAATCAGTTTCTGAGTGTTTTAAAGCCACAAGGAAAGGTTTCCCTTCTCCCCAGTTCCAATTTTCTCCCTGTCACCTCTGCCACCAGCCAGCTGCCTGCAGGGTCTTCGAAACAACAGGAAAATGAGATGGGCTTACGTGCCTTACTTTGGGTGGTTTCTTTAAACGTGAAAGAAGTGGATGAAAACTCCGATTATTCTTACTTAAAAATAAAAGCTGTTGCCACAAGAGGCAAGAGGGCGACAGAGAGAGCCCCACGCACATACAAAGTCAAACGGCCTCCAGGAAACCCTTCCGCTGTGAGTTAAGGGTGGCAGTGCCTGGATCCCTCCCTCTGATCTGGGGCAGCAGCTGGTGTTTGGGATTCGATGAACAACATGCATTACAATGAGGTCCTTGTGAGCAACAGGGCTCTGTTCACTTGTCTATTGCCAAAACATCTGGCATATTCATTTGCAAGAAAAAAATAGGTGCACACAAAATTCTGAAAGAGGAAAATGTTTCCTGAGAGCCTAAAGAAAACAGTCCCCCAGCAGGGTCCAACGGGCCTACTAGCAGAAAGCCAAAGATGAAAGGACAGCATCTGGGGACAAAGGTGAGGCCGAGGTGTAGTTGTACCAGACAGCCAGGCTGCCTGCCTTCTCTTAGCCTTAAACTTCCCCAGGTGTATCCACATGGCGATGGAATGGACAAGAGCTTTCCTCATGGGTTTATTACTTTGTACCATAAAAGCTACTGAAGGGAACCAATGATTACAAGTAATAGTAACAGCTCAATCATGCCTCCCAGTACTGATACAACGAACCAGTGCTGCCCAACAGATGTAGAATGTAAGCTACGTGTCTAAACTGAAGTTTCTAGCAGCCACATTTTAAAAGTGTTCTAAAGTGATATTTTATCTCAATACATCCAAAATATTATATCAGCCTATAATCACACATAAAGTGCTAAGGTGATCATTTGCATTTTTTTATACTAAGCCTTCAAAGTCTGGTGTGCATTTTACTCTCACAGCTCATGTCAATGTCCACGAGTGTCCAGCAGCCACTGCACTGAATGGCCAGGGATGGAATGACGCATGGGTGTCACCTTCCTGTGCCTTCCCATGACTGTCAGTGCTGTATTCCCTGGGAGAGGGGATCTCGGGAGACTGCCTCTGAGGTTGATGTAATGGAGGGAAAGATCATCTAGAAAGTGATGGCTATGGTGGCAGAAGGAAGACATTTACCCGTGGTCATTGAGGAGGTGACTTCACAAGAGTTAAAATGTTGTTTCCCCTTTATTTATTTATTTTTTTAGCGATAAGGGTCTTTCTCTGTTAATCAGGCTGGGGTGTAGTGGTGTGATTATAGCTCACTTAAGCCTCAAGCAATCCTCCTACCTCAGCCTCTCAAAGTATTGGGACTACAGGCTTGAGCCACACATCTGGCCTGTCCTACTTTCTGTGGAAGAACCTGGACTCAAGGGACATTAGTCTTTCCCACAGAGGAAGTCTTCTAAAGGCCAGCGGTTCTCCATGAATGTATAATCTATGGTTCCTGGGGTCCCTGAGACCTTTGAGAGGATCCATGAGATTGAAATTAATTTCATAATAATACTAAGATGCTGTTTATCTGTTCACTTGTATTTACATTTGTGTTACTACTGCAAAAGCAACAGCATAAATCAGTGCAGTGGTGCCTAACTATACTACAGTCATTGGTCTGCAATGCTCTGTATTCACAGGAAAAACAAAACAAAGCCAGTTTCACTGTGAGCTCAACAAAGATTCCAGAAGACTTGCAAAAATGTAAAGCAATGCTACTCTTCTCACCCAATCATCTTTGGAAAAAAGAAAAGATATTTTTCATTTAAAAATATAATTAACATGCAATGTGTTCATTATATTTGAAATGAAATTATAAACATTTTGAAAATTTCTCAGTTTTTGTATTTAATATAGTAAATATCAATAGCTACAATCCACATAGCCTAAAGCCCTTTGGAATAGTCAATATTTTTTCGGCGTATAAAGGGGTCATGAGACCAAAAGTTTGAAAGCAATTAGTCTCGGCTGAACCTGGTTGATTTATTTCCACCCTCCAGTAAACAGCACACAGCCACAATAATTTCACCAAGGGAATTCCTGTGGAGCAGTTTCTCTTTAGGCCACCAGACCAGTGTGTGTCTCTCCAGAATGAGCCCGTGAGGCGGCTGGGAGACTTTTTCTGAAAGGTGAGTGGTGTCACCTGGAGCAAAATCAAAGGCCATGGGAAAGGCTGGTAGAAGGTGTGACTGTCTCAAGGGCAGCGGCATGCTGAGGAAAGAGGCATCTTGGGCAGGCAGGGAATCCTCTATGAAGCACCCTCTCGACACTAGACAGCACACACAACCCCGACTCCTCCCGGGCAGGAGGGGCTTTTGTAAAATACCCTCCATGGTTCCCCAAGACAGAGCTGATCTGACCAGGTATGCCCCAAAGCATCACTGTTGAGTGCAGAGACGCCGCAGAGTGATATACAGGCAAACAGACCACAGTGAAGCATAACAACACTGTGCGGCCTGGGCTTCCCAGCAGCTCTTCCTCCTCTCTGGGGCTCCTTTATCAGACCTTTCCTTGTGGCCACTTGACTTCTGCCTCATCCTGCAGGACCAGATCCACCCTGTGGGGCCAGACAACGCCCAGCAGTTGACGCCAGCACCAGCCTTGCACCGCCCATACTTCTGACCATCTGTTAGACAATGCCATCTGGATGGCCTTCAGCTACCTCTGATTTAAATGCCCCTGAAACCCCTCTTCTGGTTCTTCCCATCTCACTTGACAGACCCACCAGCCACCGAGCTGCCCGCACAGCTTCTAGTCCTCCCTCCTCCTCATCCCACAACGGTAATCCAAAGGCTGGTGACGCAGTAAATGGCTCCGGTGCTGCTGCCTCATAAAAAGCTTTCCAACTCCCTACTGTCTCTAGCCATGTGACCATCAACTAAGCCCTTATCATCCCCTACATGGAACATGCCAGCAGCTTCCCAACGCGCTGCCCTGCCTCTGATCCACCCCACACTCCGGCAACAAGCCTCCACAATGCCAGTCACTTCTCTGACGAGCAGGACTGACCACGACCTAAAAGGTTCCCATTCCCACAGGATGAACACAAACTCCTCTGTGTGGGTCCCAGGCCCTTTCTGATGCGAAGTTCCTCAAGCCAGGAATGTCTCATTCATCTGCCCATCCTCAGAGCCTGGTCCAGGGACCAGTACGCAACACACATTCAATATTTTGTTGATTTAATAAATGCCCGGGAAAGCTTTTCTCTGTAACACTAAAAGACTCTGCCTCCACACCACTTACGCCATATTCCGCGTGCCCTCAAAGGGGCGTGTGAGGAAAATGAGGAGACATGAAATCAGTGGTAGGACTGTGTTGCAACGGAGAAGCTGATTTTCAATATATGATCCCCTATAAACTAAGGAGTCTATTCTTGTAACAAACATACTTGGCCTTACACACCCAAGGAACTGCCATGAGAAGCTCTCTGTCTGTATTCCACAAGACTGCCATTATTAAAAACATTTTTGCAATTATCCTTAAACAGTTTTTACAAGAAGCTCAATGAGTTCAGTATCCTTTCTTCACAAGCACAGCTCCTTACTTGACCCAACCTATGTCACCAGCTTGATCATCTACTTAATTAACTAGGTTGGTCCCAAATGGTTAAAGGACAAAAAGTTGCCTCCAGAGAGTGCACTGCTAAGAATGTGTGGAAATTCAACGCTAAGTCCAGACATAATTCCACAGAAAGACTCCAAGAAGGTGTCAAGCAGTGGTTTCTTCCCCGGAATACATTTATACAGTCACCCAGACTGATAATTTTAAAGAGTGATACTGACCCGAATGAATACATTTTAGCATTCTTTAAGATGTAGAACGATATCCTACATGCACTGTTAGTGGATACCTTTTTATATAAATACACCATTCATCTACACCAAGGAGACTTGGAATGTAGACATACCCATTTCGTGTGAGCGCATGCACGCATATGCTACTATCGTGTGTATGTGGGGTGGCGATTGCCACGGAAGCCCGCTCCTCACCATGATGCTCTTGTACATGTTGCCGTTGTTGTCCTCCACGCTGATGCGGATGATGCAGGTGTCTTCGTTCTGTTGGTTGTAAACGGGAGGCAGCACAGTCGAGGTAATGGACGTCACAGAGACAGAGCGCTTGTGGATTTTAGGGTTGTTGTTGCAGGACGGAGGGGAGGAGAGGGGGTTGATTAAGGACGACATCCCTGAGGAATTTGTGTCCATGGAATGGATGGAGGAACATGAGGAGGAAGACTCGGAGAGCTGGAAGAGCAAGCACACCCCAGAAGGAAACAGATCAGAACCTTGGCCAACTGCAGGCTTTGCAACTTTCAAAGCAGAGGTAGTTATCGAGACCAATATTTCCTCCACAACAGCCCACAGCATGCATGCATGCATCTTGTCCCTGGTGCAAGCACCCCCCAACCTCACCAGTGACTCAGTGGGACTAATTGTTCATGTGAGGCAAGGTTCTCGGGTTTCCCTGGTTTTTAGTTGTTCTTATGGACGTTCACCAGCAGATGGCAGCAGATACTAGAAACTGGAGGCAATATGAGCTCCTGAAGGAAGTCAGATGCTTACAGGGCTGGGGGAAGGAAGCCTTGGCAACAGTTGACTCAGCCCTAACACAATCAGATTTTGTAGTAGGAGAAAAAGGTCTGTATTTTTAGAAGTTTTAAAGATAGGGACGACAGATTCTACAGCTCTGCATGGAACATTAGTGCTAAAAAGGCCCTTGGAGATCATCTGCTCCCTTTCCACTGCTGAGGAACCTGAGACCCAGAGAGAAAAACAGGCTCCAGGGTCACACGGCTAGCTAATAGCACCCCCAGGATGAGCACCCACGTTCCCTGACTCCCACAGCTGTGATCACAGGCCAAGCACGTAGCCAAGGCTCAGCCTGCTGTTGCTAACATGGTATATTAACATAACAGGCCGCTACCTTGAGATGTTCTGTATGTGAGGTTTATGATTTCATATATTTTATCTCATTTGATCTCACAGCTGTCTTGTGAACAAAATGCAGAGCATAAAAAAGTGAGGAGAATAAACTTCAGAGAAATAAAGTGACTTGCCCAAGGGAACACAGTCTTTCAGCAGCTTTGCCACAGTACACATTTGCTGCCTGAACCAACTCTACGCATTTTCACGTCATATATTCAGGGCAATTAAGGAATGACATACTACAGCTAACATGCTTTTCTGATTAACTAAACATCTATCATATGTGTACTACCAAGTACCACAGAAAGAGGTTGCCTAACACTTATCAGGAGTTATTTTAAAAATCATTAGCTTGAATAATTTTAAGTATCAATTCTTACTGTAGAAAAGAGTAAATAATGTCTTGGAATGAGTTAAGCTAAATTATACCATATCAATCCTATTAGAATACTCTAGAAATAATTTAAAAACCAAATAACATTAATTTCTTTTCTACTACCTGCCCTGTCATGGAAACAGAGTATAGACTGCTTTTAGATCATTCGGCTTCTGAGTGAAAGAGAGTCCACTTTATCTTATTTCCTATGGACTACTTCTTCCTGTGGCATGACCATATATTAAATTCTACTGCATAAAGTGGTTAATTAGAGCCATCAAGCTGATGTGAGAACTCTGATAGGTGGGCGTCCAATTGTGGCCCTATCATAGCATGGTTTGGTTACATTTTGTGTTTTGAGGCTGTTTTTTTTTTCTTATGTTCCCAAGTGAATCAACTTAGTGACTCAGTTTGAGGGCTGATGGTGGATACTTTTAATAGCATAGCTTTGCTTGCAGGTATATTAGCCAAGAGGGTCCATTTTCCAATTATTGGTTTAATTTTTTACTTGCAGTTCCCTCTATAGAAACTCTTATTCCTTTGTGAAATTTTCCATGATTCTCATGACATTTATAACTAAAGATACAGCCATGAGGATGCCTGGGTTACAGCAGCTCTACACAGACTGTCGGATGAGCCTCCAAATTATTCATGAGAGCTTAAGCAGTGAGGAGCAAGTGTGAAAATCAACGGTTGAGAAACCATGATCAAGGGAATGAAGAAAGGAATGCAAGTAACTTCACTTTTATTTTATTTTATTTTTTGTGAATAAATCAAGTTTATTAAATAAGACACTGAAAACAATTATCAGGTTGAGAAAAGATCTTTAGAAATAATGGAATCATATGTACATACATATAGCAAATCCAGTCAGATTGGCATGGGGTTTCTTTCTATCCAGAAACCAAACTCACATTATGAATTATCCTCTTACTTGAGAGAATAGCTCCAATCTATGAAGTTCATTATCCTAACTCCAGGGTTGGGAACTTTACTGTTTATGTTGAGAGGTTTTGATTTTAAACAAATAAACAAACAAAAAAGGTGCAATTATTAAATTTCAAAGTTAAAACAGAGCCCTTATTTATCTAAAATTAGGTTAGAATTTAGCTAAATCTCTCCTTAACATAAAAATGCAACTAATAATCATCTCAGGTAATTCTGACTTTTTGCCATCTGTAGATTTTTGTGCTGCCCTATCTGGACAAACAACAATCTTTCAGTTAACTAAGAAAAGTTAACTCTTTCTGATAACATAGGGCAGCACTTCACTTTTAAGAAGAGCAACCTCATTGTGGGAAAGAAAAGGCGGCAGCCTGCAGGGCTGCTGGGGAGGAGAGCTATCACAATCTCCAGAGCAGGAGGGGATTGTGGAGGGGAGCCGGGTCCAGCTACGCACTGAGCAGGAGAGCTGAGGGCCTTTCCAGTGAGCACACAGGAAGACTGCAGCCCAGGAACTCTTGTATCCAAGTCAGTGACTCATGGTAAAATCTATAGAAATTTATGCCTCTGAGAAAGGTTCATTTAGAGATTAAAAGCCACAACTTGTACAAGAAATGAAAGAGTCAGTGTGATAAGAGATGGCACAAAAAGGCTACATCGAGGGGTGGCAGATGACAGCACTTGGGCTTCTGGACAGTTCTAAAGGGGATGTTCTAGATCAACATACATGTCCATTGCCCCACCAGGTATGGCTGAGATCTCACCTCCTTCCCGGAGAGACAGGAGAAATCCCATAGAGCTGTGAGTGAGAGCTCAGCTATCAATTCCCTATAATGTCCACGATCAGCAATGGCGCCTCCAAAGCACAAGAAGCTGTGACAAAGTGAACACTGAGACCTCCTTCCAGAGTCCAACAAATCCAGTGCCATATGTCAAATCACAAGAAATTATTCCCTCCCGGTTTAGGAAACATGACCAGTTGGGAGGTATCTTCAGAGCTTCCCCCCAGTTTTGGAGCATGAAGGATTTTGCCCCTGGATTTCCAAGCAGAAGGGTGAGAAATCCCACTGGGCAGCAGCGGAGTCACCTTGGTCTGATAAGGCCTGAGTAAGATGCCCTGCTTGGGTGGCTATTTGGTGACAAAGTCACTTGAGGGTTCCCAGGTTGCCACTGTTGCTTCTAACACCACGTGAAGCAACACAGAGGCCCCCTTCCAGGGCAGCAGACAGAACCCAGATAATGGACGTAAGCCAACACTCAACCTCATGGGCCTGGGCAGAAGCTTCGGGGCCAAAGGTCAAGTCTGGCTGGTCCGAAATCTCCCCAAAAGGTGCAAACTCTAGTCCTGTCAAAGTTGATATCTCTGATACAAGCTCCTTGACCAACAGATTGAAGCACATTTATACAGAAGATCAAGACTGATACTGAGCCGGGCTCGGTGGCTCAGCCTGTAATCCCGTGCCTTTGTGAGGCTGAAAGTGAGTGGACTGCCTGAGCCCGCGGGTTCGAGACCCGCCTGGGCAGCGAGACCTCATCTCTACAATAAATCAAAAATCAGCTGGGCGTGGTAGCACATGCCTGTAATTCTGGCTACTCGGAAGGCTGAGGCGGAAGGATTGCCGGAGCCCAGCAGGTCGAGGTTGCGGTGGCCGGGAGCGGCCACTGCACTCCAGTCTGGGTAACAGAGTGAGACTCCAACTCCAAAAAAAAAAAAAAAAGACTGATACTGGTTTTAAAATTTGTATTTATACAGTCATGAGATGGAAACTCTCCCATCCAAGTACTAACCAGGCCTGACCCTGCTTCGCTTCCGAGATCAGACGAGATCGGGTGCGTTCAGGGTGGTAGGACCATAGACTAAATAGCAACTCTCTATGGGAATTCTTCTATCCCCTCTCATCACTGTCCTTTTTCCAATCATCATAGATTGTATCACTGTTGCCATACCTCATCCTCCTTGCATCCACATCCTTTGTCCTGAGATTTCATGGTTCCTCCCACTAAAAATGGGGCATGTTTCCCTGCCTCATTTACTCATGTGGGATTTGGCCACATGACTGCTTTACACAATGGAATGTTCGAAGATCCGACCCAAGGAAAGGCTGGATATGTGCTAGTGGGGTGGGACTTACTCTCCTGCTCATGCATCCTGGCACGCTAAAAGCATGCATGCCCTGGTGGCCCATTACTCCAGAAAGAATGAGAGACAGGTGGAGCAGACCTGGACCAAATCCATGACCTAGGGACAAGCCCAACTCAAATCAGGCAACCTGCAATTGTGCAAGAGAGAGATGGTGGTGGTTTCAAGTCCCTGAGTCTCGGCTGGTTTGCTCTGCAACATTGTGGTAAGAGCTTGGCTCAGACAGGATACGGCACCAAGAAGCTGACACATCTCTGTCTCTGACTTTTTGCTCCTTCTAAGCATCCTACTTCTCATGCCCTTCAGAGCCTTTAGATGTGAGTATGAAACAGTATTTCAAAGGCCAAATGAATAAACCAACCTTCTTACTGCTTTCATACCTGTTCTCATAAGGAATGCAAACCCAGATTGGACTCTGTTTTTTATAGTTCTGTAAAATAACTTTGTAGGTCGAGCTTGGTGGCTCATGCCCGCAATCCTAGCACTTTGGGAGGCCAAGGCAAGGGGACTGCTTGAGCCCAGGAGTTTGAGACCAGCCTAAGCAGCACAGCAAGATCTCATCTCCAGAAAAATAAAAAACATAGCTGGATATGGTGGCATGCACCTGTAGTCCCAGCTACTCGAGAGGATCTCTTGAGTCCAGAAGGTCAAGGCTGCGGTGAGCCATGATCATATCACTGCCCTCCAGCTTGGGTGACAGAATGAGACCCTGACTCAAATACATACATACACACACACACACACACACACACACACACACACACACACACACACACATTTTATATATATATATTAGATATTACATACGTATGACTTTCTAAATACTGTAAAGTGATAAACTTAAAAACAGATTTTCCCTGTGCAGCAAATATGTTAGGTGCCTGGATGAGAAATTATGAAAAGGGTTAAGTAGATACCTTTTTTTGAGGCTCATCAGGGGTGTCCATGGGAGTAATAGAGCCCTCCTCAGCTTCCGAGTGATTCGACTCGCAGGATGACACACTGACAGAGTCCATGCTTTCACCAGAGCTCCCGCTGGCAGTGGACTTGGGCTGCTCTTTGGTGGGAGTGGTGCTGGGGATAATGTCAGACCCCAGGAACAGTCTGCAGAAAACAGAATGCCAAGCATTCAGGCCGTTACAAATCCAGAAACCACAATTAAGCAAATATTTTGTGTTGATTAAACCCTTGATGTTTTCTCAATCTTGTGAGCTCTGTCAATATTATGTTAGGAAAATGTTTGCTATAAAGTTTCTAAAAAATAGTAAATATCTTGTCCCAGTGGGTTCCTTTCAGCTTCAAAGAACAGATTAATTAGCTAGCTAAGAGGCCGTATTAATACGAGGTCTTTCTAGATCAGTGGACCTCCATCTTTCTTTTTTTTTTTTTTTTTGAGTTCGAGTCTCACTCTGTTGCCCAGACTGGAGCAGACTGGAGTGCAGTGGCCGCTCCCGGCCACCACAGCCTCGACCTGCTGGGCTCTAGCAATCCCTCAGCCTCAGCCTTCCAAGTAGCTGGAACTACAGCCACGCGCTACCACGCCCGGCTAAGTTTTGATTTATTGTGGAGATGAGGTCTCGCCAAGTTGCCCAGGTGGGTCTCGAACCCGCAGGCTCAGGCAATCCACTCACCCCAGCCTCCCAAAGCGCAGGATTACAGCCTGAGTTACTGAGCCCAGCTGGTCCTCCATCTTTCAACAGTGTATGGACCACCCTGGTGGGATTGAAATACCTAACCATACCCCTATCAATTCCTATGATAAACTGAACTTCATAGGCTAAAAAGTGCTGGTACTGCTTTGGGTAAGAAACCAAGGAGGAAGACTTCTATTTCCAATGATCTGATGAACTACAATAGCCTAAGTCCCTCTTCTATAAAATAACTAGACAAGAACTTGTAAAAACTCTTTTCAGCTGAGCTTGCAAGATAGTAAGGGAAATCCCTGAAGGCCTTAGATGAGAAGGGAACTGAAACCCAGAAGCATGGCAAGCTACTTCTGCAGCTGCTCGGATTGTGGGTGGAAGTGCCGATCTTGGCAAAATAGTGACCAGGGCTTTAACACACACATGGGCCCCAAAATTGGAGTTTTTGTCCATGAAAGGTAGGGAGTTAGAACCAGGACCCCTTTTATAGAGCCAGGACCCTCAGAGAGCTGTAGCCTTAGGAAAAAAGTGAGCTAGAAAAATGTCTTCCTACTGGAGCAGGAAGACAGCAGGAAAAGCCTGTTGTCTAGGCCTGAATGTAAAAAGAAGAAAAGTGTCTCCTTTGAAACATGTGTGAGCCTGTCTTTTGTCTCACTCCAATTTTCTAGCTATGTGGTCTAGGAGTTAGGAACTCTCAGGCCAGAGATACCCCTCAGGAGTACTAGATTTAAAAAACAAAATTTCCGAGGTGAGGGAATTGCCTGAGCCCATGGGTTCGAAACTAGCCTAGGCAACTTGGCTAGACCTCATCTCTACAATAAATAATTAGTCAGGTGTGGTAGCACATGCCTGTAGTTCCAGCTACTTGGAAGACTGAGGCAGAAGGATCGCCCAAGCCCAGTGGATCGATGGGGTGGCCGTGAACATGCCATGGTACTCCAGCCTGGGCAATAGAAGGTCACCCCAACTCAAAAAAAAAAAAAAAAAGCTTTCTGGAGGATATACCTTCAACCCAGGCTTCAGAAAATTCTCTAATAAAGGGGAGCTCACAATACAAAATTACAAAATATACACAAGGAAATATTCCACTCAGAGAGCCAACAGGCATAACAAAGAACAGGGTTAGACTCCCAAGAACTCCAGATATAAGAACTGTCAGAAAGAAACTAATAATTTATTCATTCATTCAACAAATATTTGCATGTCTACTATAAGCAGAGCAGTAAAATGAATATGTTTAAAAATATTAAAGACAAGAGAAGAAATTAAAAGTTGAACAAGAGGATAATTTGAAAAACATTTCACGTCTAGGTAAAAAAGATCATGATTTAAATTAAAAATTCAGTGGAAGGGTTAAATAACTATTGAGAAAAATCATGAAATAGATTATAGATCTGAAGAAAATTCTCAGAAATCATCATCAAAAGATAAAGACACGGAAACAGCTGTTAAAAAATGTGGAGAAAATGGGTGTAGTGGCTTGTGCCCATAGTCCAACTAACAAGGGAGACTGAGGCAGGAGGATCACCCGAGCCCAGAAGGTCAAGGCTGCAGTGTGCTATAATCACAGCACTGCACTCCAGCCTGGGCAACAGAGTGAGACCCCAATTATATATAGAGCGAGAAAGAACAATAAAAATGTACCCATGAGTGAAGAAGGAATTCTAAAAGAAAACACAGAGTATGGAAGAGGGACTCTATCTGAAGAGATGGTGGCTGAGAGGATTCCAGAACTGATCCACATGAATCCTCTCATCCAAGAACCACATACTGAATGATATATCAAAAGGTGTTCTTTTTGTTTTTTGGAGTTGGAGTCTTACTCTGTTCAGGCTGGAGTACAATGGCACATGCACGGCCACCGCAGCCTCTAACTGCTAGGCTCAGGCAACCCTTCCACCTCAGCCTTTCAAGTAGCTGGAACTACAAGCACGCACCACTATGCCTGGCTAGCTTTTTTGTTTATTGTAGAGACGAGGTCTCGCCAAGTTGCCCAGGCTGGTCTCAAACCCCTGGGCTCAAGCAATCCTCTCGTCTCCACCTCCCAAAGTTCTGGGATGACAGGCGTGAGCCACCAAGCCAGCTCAAAAGATATTCTTAAAAGCAACAGGAGTGGGGAACATAAGACAGAAGAATAGTAATTAAGCAGCAATCAGACATCTCAAATGCAACCAAGAAGTCAGAAGACATCAAATAGCACCATCAGAGTGCTGGGTGAAAACAACAGGCATCCAACATTATACACATCTGATATAATTCCAAGAGTGAGGGCCAAATAAAAGGCTTTCTCAGACAAGGTCTGAGAGGGGCTACCATTAGCAGATGACCCCAGAAGTAGCAGTAAGAGGAGGCAGGGAGCAAGATGGAAGAAGGAAAGACAGCCAAGAAACTAGCATATGGGGCTGAACCCAAACAAGTGCAGACTGGATAAAACACCAACAATAATGGTGGCAATGAGGCTGTGCTCAACTTTTTACGAAATACTTTAGGAATCAGAAGCTCGAATTCCAAGACCTTGGGCATATCTTTTTTTCTCCCTCATCTCCAACCCACCCTTCTCTAGCACCATTTTCCACGTCTTCCCTTTATGGATCTCCAAGCACTACAGGGCTAGAGGGGTAGGGGCTCAACTCTGATCACAATCCACAGAAGAAATATCAATGCCACTGTCTTAACTTTCCATGAGCTACAAGGTAGATCTCTGAAGGCCGTGAACTAGGGGTCCATCCATTACCTGAGAGTCTATAACTCAGAGCTAAATTGCGCAAAGACTAAAGGTTCTTCCAGCTCTACGATTTAATACGGCCACCTGATTTGTTCATTCTGATTTATTCATTCTGGCTCAATACTGGGAATCTTTGATCTTTAAAAGAAGCACTTCTTCCCCTAAGGGTCCAAAGTTTTCTCTAACCTCTTTGAATTATGGATCCTTTGCACTCAGATATCCTCTCTCAGGGGACATAAAGAGAATGCTGCTGATTATACAGGACAAACTTATACCAGTGCAAATTTTTCAAACGTGTATTTTTCCTTGAAGTTTTCCATTCAATTTGCATGAAAAAGCAAATAAAGAGATGAACTATATACTGAGATATGATCAATCAGTTGAGAAGTGGTTTTCAGGAATCATGGGTGTGTCCTTCCACATCTTCTTCAAACAACAGACTGGACAATAAATTACATATTATTATTTAGTAGGAAGAAAACAAGACTGCATTGTCTGCTTGAATAGAAAAACACAAGGTGGAAGACATCAAACAAATTGCTATTTGTACAACATGTATCAATGAACCTGCAATGCATGTCAGTGACTGTTTCACACATGACTGCACGTTAGAAAAATATAAGATATAAAATTTTGATTTTTTTGTCATATATAAGTTCCCCTATGTCCAAAATTCCATTATAAGCCAAATATCATTACAATAAAATAATTGGTTCCAACGCTATACCATTTAATATGCAGTGATTCCTTTTTCACTATTTTGTAAAAAAAGTGTGGTCACCTGTCGCTGGTAGGTGTCTCCAAGTGCAAAGGGTTACATGCGGAGAAAACAAACATACCTTTCTCAGATTTGCAAACATGCTTAGAAGATCATAAAATCTTTCAAAAAGCAATGTTATGCAGACATCCTTGTATGTACAAAAAAGAAAATGGGGGACATGTGACCCGCTTTTATAAGAATTGATCACATTCAACTGCTGATAGCAAGGGTTAAACTCAAGCATCCCAGCAAGGTGTTACTAACATGAGAGATGTGCTGAGTATCTTCCACACTCTGAGCAGGGCACTGCACCCTGCCAGCCTGGGCTCCCCTGGATTGCTCAGTAAATGTCCTCAAAGAGCGGTGCACTGGCCTGTGTCAGTGCAGAGACAGGACCCAGGAGTGTTACAGCACCCGGCACAACACAGTCAAATCCCAGTGACGAGGAAGAGAAGAAAAGTCATAGGATAAACACAAGGATGGGGGGGATAGGAGAACAAGAAGAGAAAAGGAAGTGACACTTAGGATGAGACTTTTTTTCCTTAAGGACTTCCAACTGTCACAATGGGTCTGTTGCTTACTTAGCAGAGTGGACTACAGGATACCCTGCACACCTGGATCATCTATCAGGAGGCCTATCCCTGAGCATGTGCCAACCTTAGCAACCGACAAGGCTTGGCCAGACCCCTCAGGTTGTCTCAGAAGAGAGATCCTTCTCCCCTATATATGCAGAGATGAAAAGACAGCAAGAGACTGTGGAAAATTCCCCTCAAGAGGCAAATCTAAAAGCTCATAAATCTCATGTTCAGGAGGGCCAGGGCAGGTACCTGAACAAAGAGAGGTTTAGTGAGACATCAGGATTACCTTCCAAATTCTTTCTATAAAATCACATGTTCCTACCTAATCTTCAATGCCTCATGTCACCTGATACCAGGTGACACAAGATTCTGCCATTCACACCTGCCATGGGTCTTTGTATGTTACACTGGGAACATGATAATACTCGAGGTCATACACCATCCCTGCCTCAGTGTCTCAATGTGACTCACAGATACAGGTGGAAAGACAGTGCTGGGCAGTAGCAAATATCCAGAAAACACAAGTCTGACCAAAAAAAACCACCCCAAACTCAAAAAAGATATTTACTTATTTGCTTCATAAAAAATAATGGTAGTTTTTAAGGTACCCATTGAGAGCTAGGCACTGTTTTAGGAGCTTTACAAAAAGCTACTAGGTCGACAATAATATCCTTGCTTCACAAAGGACAAGACAGAAGTTCACACAATAAGGAGCTAGTGGGGTTGAGATCTATCAGACCAGGCTGGCTCCCAAGCCCCCTCTTCCATGAAGGACTGTCCCATGTTCCCTAATCACTCTACTTGCTTGCCCTTGGCCAATGCAGATCATGCCACCCAAGAGAGCAGACACAGGGAGAGAAAATCAAATTCATTAAATTATAATCTCTATTTCCTTGAATTAACCTTCTTATGTCATCAGATCCATTAGTATAACATCTTTAAAAGTCAAATGTTGACTGGGCTCAGTGGCCCAGCCTGTAACCCCAGCACTTCGGGAGGACGAGGCGAGTGGATTGCCTGAGCCCATGAGTTTGAGACCAGCCCTGGCAATTTGGTGAGACCTCATCTCTACAATAAATTTAAAAAATCAGCCAGGCATGGTAGCACACGCCTATAGTTCTGGCTACTTGAAAGCCTGAGGCAGAAGGATTGCCAGAGCCCAGCAGGTCGACGCTGGGGTGGCCATGAGTGTGCCACTGTACTCCAGCCTGGGCGATGGAGTAAGACTCCAACTCACACACACAAAAAAGTCAAATGTCTAAGAGATCAACTTTGTGGTACAGACTGGGTTCTCTTAAGGTTCTTCTATGAAAATCGCTACCAATCAAAGCACAGGTTGTAATTAAACTAAGTCTTTCTTCCTCCCTTCTTTCTCTTCTCATTTTCTTTTATCCCTCCACCTGTCCCTCCTTCACTTTTTAACTCCTATAACATATTTCCTTCCTCTCTTCCTTCAGAAAGTGTTTTTCAAGAGGCAGAAAGGTAAGGAGGCTATAAACCTGGCTCTAGGGTCACTTCTTAGGCTTGAATCCAGACCCTCTGATTACAAGCATGCAATTTTCCTGTCTGCGCTTCCTTTCCTGGTCGACAAAATGGGTGTAATAGTAGAAGCTAGTTCAGGTTATTCTGTGGACTGGATGAGAAATACATGTACTGTTCTTATAACAGTCCTGGTCCATGGCTCCATTTATTCATTTAATAAATATTTTTAAATTATACACTATATGCCAGGCTCCATTCTAAGGTTCTAGGGATACAGCAAAAAGCAGACAAAAATGCCTACCTTCAGAGAGTTTGCATTCTAGATGATAAGCAGACACATATATAGTATGTCAGATGGAGGTAAAGGTGATAGAGAAATTCACAGAAGGGAGGGCAAGAGAGGGCACCAAGGGCAGGTGAGGCAAGCAGGTGAGGGTATTAAATGGGGTGGTCAGGGAAGGCTCGCTGAGAAGGCGACATTTCTGCAAGTATCTGAAGGAAGCGAGGGAGTAAGCTGTATGCCCATGGGGGAAGAGTGCTGTCAACAGAAGCAAAGCTGAATGAGATGAGTGTGCCTAGTGTGTCGGGACGGGTGGCTGGGTGCAAAGAGCAGGGAGAGCAGGGAAAGATGAGGATGGGTGCAGGGGATGGGCGGGTAGGATGGGCCTGAGGCTGCAGAGCCCCAAGGGCCTTGTGGGGCTCTGTAAGGACTTGGGAGTTTCCTCAAAGGGAGCCAGATGGTATGAAGTCCGCCCGAGGACCTCACGTGCCCGGCAACTGGTGTGCATGCAGCCATGAGTACAAGGACAAGGCCTCTGCCCTCAGGCTGCTCACTCTCCACTGGGGCAAACAGCCAGTGTATGCGGGAATGGCCAGGAGGACAGCACCATCAGAGAGGGCTCTCTCGGGAGGTAACATTCTGCCAACATCTGAAGGAGCTAGCCATGAAGAAAGAACTTTCCAGGCCACAGGCACAGCTAGTGCAAAAGCTCTGTAGCAGCAACAAACCTGGTGTGTTTGAGGCACGGCTAGAAGACTGTGTGACTGGATCCTGGTGACCAAAGGGCAGCGCTGTAAGAAGGGAAGGCTGGAGTAGGCCACACAAGGCCTAGTAAACTAGGAAAAGGAATTTGAGGTTGTTTTTTTGTTTGTTTGTTTGTTTTTTGAGTTGGAGTCTCACTCCGTCGCCCAGACTGGAGTGCAGTGGCTATTCCCGGCCACCGCAGCCTCGACCTGCTGGGCTCCGGCGATTCTTCCGCCTCAGCCTTCTGAGTAGCCGGAATTACAGGCGCGCGCCACCATGCCCGGCTGATTTTTGATTTATTGTAGAGATGAGATCCGCCAAGTTGCCCAGGCGGGTCTCGAACCCGCGGGCTCAGGCAATCCACTCACCTCAGCCTCCCAAACCACCGAGCCTGGCTCGAGTTTTATTTTAAAATAAAACCATTGTGGGTTTCAAGAAAGGAAGTGACATAATCTAGTGTACATCTTAAAAGACCACCTGGTTATTCAGTGGAGACTGGATGGTTGGGGCAGGGAGGCCGCCAGAAGACAGTAAGGAGTGGTCCAGGCAGGAGATGATGGTGGGTCACGCCAGAGAGAGGAGTGGAAAAGAGTTAATGGATTCAGCAAAAGTTTTGAGATCACAACAGAAAGACAAACAATTTAACAAACTAGGGAAATAGTCTGCACTCTTGCCCCAGCTCAGGGACACCCTGTCAAATACGTTTCCTCTCCTCACTCTGCAGGGACCCTCTCAGAGTCCCAGGACGTCTGGGTCACACTCACAGGCTGAGCCTCTTCACCATGCTCTTCCGAGGCTTGGGTGAGGTGGTGCTGGCGTCGGCAGCTGCTTCAATCTCACATGAGAGGACGTAGCTGGGAAAGAGAAGGGTCACCATGAGGTCAGAGTATGAGAACCGAAAAACAGGTTTAAATTCACACACCTTACTGGTTTTGTTTTAGAGGCAGGCTCTAATCATTCAAAGGAGAGATACATACTATGTCATTCTATCACAAATGTCAGAGGGTACTTAACGGCCTGATTTGACAAATTTACATCACATATGTCTCCTCTCCTTCCCTCCACTGGCTATTTAGTTCCGCATGCCTCAAACATAAAGAGGTGTGCATTTTGGTAGCATTAAAAGCGGCTCTGTTCTGTTTCCTGATCATTCTCATCCCACCACTAGGTCAGGGGAAGAATCTCCCTCCCTCCACTGCCTCCCTACTACTTCTCCTCCACTACCTCTTCCTGTCATTTTGTGTGTATATTTGTAAACTTGCTCACACGACTTACTTTTTGCTAAAGGAAATAAGAAATTTTTGTAAGCTATCTAATCTGCAACAAAAAGACATGGGCAATTATATTATTGATAAAGATATATAAATATGATTTTTAATTACCAAAACAGCCTGAATTTAACCTACTCCAGATTCAAATATCTATAAGCCGGGCAGATAAAACTGTCACAAGCACAAGAGGAATTTATGTCTGATGTGAAATGCCTTTTATGAGGTTTGTAGCTCTAACCAATAGATGTATGGGGTTGCTGGTAGGAGGGGACAGGTGCCCAATATCATACAACCACCCTCAGAACTCGGGTTGGAGAGTCGGGCTGACCTGACTTTGAATCCATAACTAGCTCTAATTCTCCTCTAAACCTCAATTTCCTCTTTGGCAAAACACTTATTTTGCCATCAATTTCACTCTCCCTTATGACAAACTTCCAAGGAAATCTCTGGGTCTACAGCAGGGATCAGTAAAGGACCACAGAGTTAGGATTCTGGGCTCTGTGGGCCATATGGTCTCTGCTGCAACTACTCAACTGTCTTTAAAGCATGAAAGCAACCACAGCTAAGATGTAAATGAGCAGCCTGTGCTCCAGTTGAACGTATGTAGACACTGAAATTCAAATACTTGTTGAATTTCAAATACTTGTTTCATGTCACAAATTCTTTTTGTTAAACCAGGTAAAAATGTAAGAATAGGCAGTGGGCCACAAATAGCCTATACACCAATCTGTCCATCAGCGGACCACAGGACAAGACTGACCCAGCTGGGTCAACAGGCAAAGCCTCCGAGGTAACGTGCCCTGCTATGCCCATCACCAACTATTTTGGTATCTGTTCTGTATTCCAGCCACACCTGACCTATCACTGTTTCGCCAAATGCCAAGCGTGTCAGGTCACCCAACCTTTGCTTGAGTTCTCTCTCAGTCTGGAATGTTCTTCTGGTGCAGTCTTATTTCTCCCTCATAGCAAGCCTAAATGATACAGCCTTTACATCTTCCCTACTTTCCCACTTCCATAGCCAAATGAACTGTTCCTATCCATAGTTCTGTAGCACTTTCGCTGTCCCTCATATTTTAATTTCTCACGAGTCTGTCTCTCTCCCTAGGTTGAAAGTGCTCTGAAAGGACACACCAATTACAATAGTGACAAACATCGTGACAATGGTGGTGGTGGTGGTGATGATGATGCTGCTGATAAACATTCTAACAATGGCTTCCTAAATATAATTTTTTTTTTTGAGTCAGGGTTTTACTCTGTAGCCCAGGCTGCAGGCTGGAGCGCAGTGGCACAATCACAGTTCACCACAGCCTTGATCTCCTAGACTCAGGTGATCCTTCTGCCTCAGCCTCCAGAGTAGCTGGGACTATAAACACACACCACCAAACCTGGCTTTTGTTTTATTTTTTAGAGATGAGCACCTGCTATGTTGCCCAGGCTGGTCTTGAACTCCTCATCTCAAGTGATCCTCTAGCCTCGGCCTCCCAAAGTGCTAGCATGGACAGGTCAGAGTCACTGCCCCCAGTCCAAATAAGATTTTATTTAAGCCTCAGAAACATTTCACCAGATGAGCATCCTGAAGATAAGGAAGAATAAGCAACCTGGTCAAGTTTACAAAGATAAACAAGTAGCAGAGCAAGAATCTGAAAGCAAATCCTCTGCAGTCATCAACTCAGCTCTTCCTGCTACACAATGTTCCGTTGAAGACCAAGGACCTAAAACCTAGTAGCTGCTCACTAAATCACTGATGAATAAATGACCCAACAAGGTATTCAATGCAGCTCTCCTCTTGCCAGCACCTCAGTTCCACCCTGAGAAACAACAGGTCAGCCTACCTTTCCTCTTCTGTGAGCAGCTGCTGCCTCTGGAACCACTGAATAAACTTTTGGTCTGGGGTCATACAATAGCTGTTACAGGCAGACTGCAAGAGCTTTATTTGGGCAATCACTTCAAATTCCTAAAACAGACAAAACACCAAAAATAAAAAGAAGAGTGGATAGTAAGTCCAACCAAATACAGATACTTACAACATGAACATACACCACATTAGGATAAAAGATGGAGAAAACCGTCTAGCAGGATTATGAAATACTGCTTCCTTAGAAATAAAACAGCTGAAGAATTATAACTTTGAATATCTAAAGTCCTTGTATGCTTTAATTTTGAATCCTCCTTTATCCTTGAAAAAGCAATTTATATGAATAAAGTAAGCTACCAGAGCAACACAGACTAGTCACTACCTAAAGTTATAGTGGATTCCTTTTTCTCTTTTTCCATTTTCATCCTTGGGATAGAAAAGTTACTTTTCAAGGTTTTAAGTACTTCAAAAGATATATGAAAGTTTTCTATTTCTTAAAAGATTTAAAAAATACTCATTCAAGAAGCTCCCAAGTTCTTCACCCACTCAAGAAATAAGTTTGAGTAAAGTTGAATATCTAAACAGTCCAGGGTCGCATGAACTTGAATGCTTAGATTTCCTGAATCTTTACATTTTTACTACTTCAGCAAATCATTTAACTAAGTCTTTTAAAGCTCATAGGAGAGGCAAGTATATAATTATGTCCAAAATTATTTATACTTCTTTGGATGCTTCCATAAAAAGTTTTTTTAAGTCAGTAATGGGTATAAACTTTAGCTTTAATAGTCAAACTTTCCAAAAGTTTAGCATCCTGGTCTTAAAAGGAAAGAGATTACTATCCAGGGTTATTCTGAAGTTAAAGGACAAAGACGAGTAACTGTGGAGGCAATAATGATTTTTTTTTTTTTTACATCATTACAGGATATGACAGAAGTAACTCAAGAACCAGCAGACTCTGAGTCTCAACTTTCCATCCAATGACCTCAGACTTTGGACTCCATATTGCCAAGGAATATTTATCATCATGCTAAAGAAAAATGTGCATATTACTCTATGAGGGACAGAAATTTTACATTTGTCCAGGTTAGTATCTTGTTCCCGATGAGTTCAGCTTGATTGAACTCCTCTAGGCCTTTCTGGTTTTAACTTCAATATCATTTCTTCCTGGAAGTTTCTCTAGCCCTACAAGTTGGGAATATTCCCCCACCCCCACCCCGCCTCCTCCATCTATATCTTTCTCTAACACCTACTGCTCCCAAGTCCCAATCCAGAGGTATTATAACTGCCTATTTATTTGTCTACCTCCCTCCTGGATTGTGAACTTCAGAGGGCAGGGAGCGGTGGTCTTTCTCTGCTGCATTCCCAATGACCCCACATTAGGCAGATAATCAATATCTGTGCAGTGAAAGATCAAAGGAATGACTAAGGAAAAATGAGAGTACTACAGGGTGAAGTTGTTATTTCGCTCACTCTTTATTCTTTGAATCTTTCAACTGTCTATTTAAAAATACCATTTGAATTCTTAAAAACCGTAGCAAAATTTTAAAGTGATTTTAACTTTTTTAGCAGAGTTCAGAACTGTTCTAGCCACAGAAAGATTCAAACTGATGTTGAACACCCCTTCCTGACAGGAATGAAAAAATACTTACCTACACCTAACAGTGAAGACCATTTCCTTTCCTCTCTGGAACAGACCCACCTTTATTAACTCTCCCAAATCATTTACTCTTTGGAAACTGCTTCTCCTAATTAGGGTGAGCCTGTTTCTTTTTTAATTGGTTAATTTTAAAACTGTTTATATTTATGGTATATATATATATATATATAATGTGTTTTGAAATATGTACACATTGTAGAATGGCTAAATCAAGGCAATTAATATGTGAATTGCCTCACATAAATCTATTCTCTTAGCAGTTTCCCAGCATACAATACATTGCTATTAGCTGTAGGAGTGAACCTGCTTTTGCTGAAACTAACCATGGAGAAGGAGACAAGGAGGGGTGGGGAGAAGTGTGGATTGTAGAATGTCAGAATGTGAACCCCGGCTCTGCCACTGCATGAATCTGGTCCAGTAACTTAATCTCTTTCCTCGTCTTTGAGTTGAGCATGATAAAACCCAGCTCACAGGGCTCTTGGGGGAACATGCCAAGCACAATGGTAAATGACAACTGTTCAATAAGTGCTCATTTATTTTTTCTGCCTCTACAAAGAAGCTTAAGACTACACTTCTTTCATTTTTTTAATGCCCAGATGAAGTAAAATGGAAAACCATAGCCAACACCTCTACTTACCCTTCTCCTTTTCTCGAAGTTTATCAGTCCACCCTAAAATAAATTAAAAAAAAAAAAAAAGAGTGACCAACAAAACTACTTTGAAATACAGACCTACTAGTCACAATAGCAAAGATATGGAGCAGAGAACTGGATAAAGAAAGTGTGATACACACACATGCACACACCATGGAACACTACTCAGTCATAAAAAAGAATGAAAACATGTCTTTTGCAGCAACTTGGATGGAACTAGAGGCCATTATCTTAGATAAAATAACTCAGAAACAGAAAGGCAAATATTGTGAGTTCTGACTTATAAATAGGGGCTAAACATATGGACATACAGAGTGATATATTAAACACTGGACATTACAAAAAGCAGGACAGTGGGAGGGCAGCTCAATAAGGATTGAAAAATTACCCATTCACTAGTCAAGTGATGAGTATACAAAAAGTCCACTACTCATGTATGCATGTAAGAAACTTACACTTGTACCCCCTCAATATATAAGCATTTAAAATTGTTTAAAAATAGATAAATATATTTTTTAAAACACAGCCCTGTGTTGTTCTGGGTCACATTAAAATCAATCAAAGGGATGATAAAGTCACAATTATTAGTGAGTCTATAGTTATGACTACTATGGAAGAAGAGAATCATGTTTTGCTTCAAGAAAAACATTCTTTGAACTTATCATAAGGCAGGATAGGCAGAAAACCTTCTCTTAAAATGTCTAAACCAACTAAAATAGTAATGGTAAAGAATTACAAACCGGAATCCAAATACATTTGCAGAGACAGTAAAGACAAAAGCTTGAGTAAATATCCAATTACATCTTTTTCCTTAACCAAAAGCAACAAAAGCAGAGGGTAACTGATGCATACTAGAAGCCAAACTGCCAATGGTTTATCAAAAGGGAAGTCATTTCTCCTAGCATCATGAAAAATTAAGTTTCAATTCTTCATCGCCTCAGCTCCTGTTCTCAGTAGGCAGAATTTAACTTCCAAATCTTTAGTCACTCCCCGAAATTCCCCAACACTGATGGGTGTTTCCTGAGATAAGCTGAGGTAGAGGATGTGAAGAGACAGATAGCTAAGGAAATGCAAAATGGAAAACACATCCATTATACTTTGGCAAGCTCAGAGGTAGGTATATGCAAAATACCTTCTACTCCTAATTATGATACAAGAAAAGCAGGCTGATTCATAAACAGGGAGGTGGCAGGATATACTTAACTACACAAGCAATCCTCAAATCTCATCTCAAATTTCCTCTCTACTTGTTTATTACTGCTACTAACAAGTTGTTTATCTGACTGCATTTTACTTCTTGTCGCCATTCAAGGAGAGAGAGAGGGAGTGAGAGGGGAGAGGGAGAGCACACACCCAGAGCAAGTAGCAAAAAAGAAAAAAAATACTTGAAAATTCACACATTTGACGGACTTCCTACCCCACCAGAAAGAATGTTAGGGCGTATCACCCCTTCATTTCCACCTGCCAAAGTCCTACTCAATATCTAAGTCTTGCTTAAGCTCGCTCCATCACATCCCTTCATATGAATTAACCCTTACCTCCTGTGTTCTCTCATTGCATTTCTGTTCGAATTCCTATTATTACTATGGATCACCGCCTACTTTGATATACTCTACCTTTCATTGAACTTTGAGCCACTTCTGGTGTTATCTTTTGGTGTTATGTTTTGGTGTTTTTCCTCTTGGCATTTAAGCACAATACCACCTATATAACGGGCTCTCAATAGTAACTAATAGAAGTGGCTTTCTCTTTTGGATATACAGTGATAAGACTGCAGGCCCAATGACTTCACCTACTGAAAACTTACCTCGATGTAGTCCTGAAGAGCAGTGTCCAGCATGGTCAGGTCAGTCAGGAAGGTACCCAGGTAGGGTACAGTTCCCTGCATCATGCCCTGAAGAGCAAGCAGAGCAAAACTGTCTTTATTGCTATTGAAAAGTTTAACGGTTTCAGTACCTTCACAGTGGAGCAGATGGATCTATTCAAGGCCTAAGTTGGGGCCAGTTATGCTAACCTCATGAAGGAATTTGTTCAAATGTCTACACAAATCAGTAGGAACTCCATGATCTAATGTCTAACTTTCAAAGACATGAAATCCAGGCCTCAAAGTCAGGAGACGATAATCATCTGTAGGGTTTATATTTTGCTTAGGCTCAAATCAGAAGGATGTCTGTTCTCTTTCAGAGCATGTAGAAACTGCTGGTAGTTTGGAATGTCCTAAATAGCAATGGCCTCACCACTGGTAAAAGAGTGAGCTGTTGCACAAAGAAGGAAAAGTATGTTCCACAAGAGTATGGGGTGTCACTACTAAAATGATCCCACCTACTGAAATGATCCTGTGGGCTGGACTTAATGATTTGCTTTTAAAGACTAGAGAAGGGAAAGAAAAAAGTATTACTTTCAAGAAGGAAACCTGGAAAACTCTACCTCAACCCAGAGATAAAGGTCAACATCAGCAGTGTCACCACTAACACGATACCAGGTATCATGCCGATACCATTCCTTTACTCTTGGATACGATGTGATGAGAAGGGCATTTTAACTCTGTGCTATTCTTCCTAAAAACCTATAATCTCAGTCTAATCACGAGAGAGATAACAGACCAGCCCAGATTATGGAACATTCTATGAGCTACCTGGACAGTATTCTTTAAGATAGTCAAGTCCACAAAAAACAAGGAAAGACTGAGAAACTGTCACAGACCAGAAGGTATTGGGATGACACAACAGCTAAGTGCAGCATGGGATGCTGGGATGGGTCCTGGAACAGACAGAGATACTGATGGGAATCTGGTGAAACCCAAATAAAATCTGAATTTTAGTTAACAGTATCATGCTGGTGTCAGTTTCTTAGTATTGGCAAATGTGCCATGGCTTCAGAAGATGTTAACAATAAGGAGAACTGGTGAGGGGTTTGAGAAACTCTATGTACTAGCTTTGAAACTTTTCTGTACATCTAAAATTATTCCAAAATTTAAAGTTTATTTTTTTTAAATCTGCCCTTTGGAAATGAAGGTGGGGGCACTTCTGTCTACAACTGCTGTTCTCTACTATATTCATTTCACCAAATCACCTTTAAAATTATCTCTATTCTCCATCCACAAAGCCACCAAGGCACTGTCAATTCTGGAGGAAAAATAAGGGTCTCCCATGGATTCCTTATCCTAAATGTCATCAAGGCACTTCTGGAACACACAGTCTCGACTAGGGCAGGACCAGGCTGCTTGGCGGGAGGCTGGCTGCTTCCTTGGCCAGAACCGCTCTGTGGGACTCAGTGTTGTCCTTCAGGAACTGTCAGCTTCAGTTTGTCCTTCCCTGTTATGTGTACAAGGTCTCATCCTAAACTAAAATAATCTTTTTTTTGTAAGCTATTTTTAACTTGTCTTTGAACAACCAAAAAAGTTTGAAACATTGTGAACGTTTTATAGGCTTCATGTTACAGAAGAATCCTATCGTTCAAAACCTTTTCTGATTTATGTTCTACTTCCAAAGAAAGAGCAAATCCTCTCAAAACAGGGATGAAAATATTCAGTTTGTCAGTCTCTAATCTCCTCTCCTCTGGTCCCTGCACCCATGTTAAAAGTTAGAAGTTTATGATAAAGCCAGAGATGCTGATAACTATCTTTAAGCCTTAAGGAGGCATGATGCTCCTTAGTCCTTGGGTTTAGCAAGGAGGGCTGGGCAGTGACTACAGGATTTGGAACAAATGAAAAAAATCTCTGAGTACAAGGACCAGTCTCCTGGGAACAGACACTCTCTTTCCTTGGCCACTGAGTATCTGAAGCTGACTCCAGAAGGAAGCCAAGGAGCTTCTAGGCCAAGGTGGCAGTAGCTTCTAAGTGCAGGAGAGGGTGGAAGAGACTGCAGGAGGCAAGAAAGTCTATCTGCTGCAGACTCTCCCTTACCTTCTGAAAAATCTTGCTCCAGAAGACAAAACTTCCTACTGGGCCAAATGGGGTAACTAATCATCTCTTTCCTACAAGCCTCCCAGGGCTGCTGAGAACAAATGAGGTAGAAAATGGGGACCCTGTCTGAAAGTATGGGCACCCTACAGACCAACAGCACCAGTGCCATGTGGGAGCCCAGTTGCTCATCTGGCCCCTCTCCTGTGAACTACCAGGGAAGCACGAGGGCCACACGTACCATATCCTTCTGGAGCTGAAGCCTCCTCTGAGTCCGCTTCTGGTTTTCTTTCACGCTGCTGTCCAGGTTTGCAAATTTGGAGGTTCCTTCCTAGGAAACAGAAGCACACACGGAGAAGAGTGACGAAGGAAGCCAGGGAAGATGCCACACCTGAGAGAGGTAAAGGGGTATCTAGCTGTGGGCACATAACCCTGCACAATTCTCAGAATGCCATGCAAAATGGAGAGGCCTCCAGTGGGCTGTTGCAGTGTCTGAGGCAGATGCTTGGCTGGTTTGTTGCAAGTGGTCTGTTTGTAACGAGGTGGTGGTCTTAGACTACCCTGCTCTCTCCCTACTTTGTAAAAAGAGCAATTGATTTGGTGACAAAATCAATAATCAATACAAGCCATGCAAGTCCCAGAGCAGGTCACATTTTTACACATCCCAAATTTCACTCAAAGTAATCAGATGTCCTGGAAATGAAGACCTCTTCCTCTGTACATTTTGTGATTTCTTGATCTTGGCCTGAAATAGATGTGCCAGCATTCTGTGAAAGAAAGGGACTATTTCTGTGGTATTTCTTAGCTAAATGAAACTCCTGTACCGGAAGTTTTCTGAGGAAGTCCAGTATTGTGGTATATCTCTAATCCATGAAAGTCAAACCTTCATACATTTCCCCTCCTCCCAGACCAATTCTCCTGGATCACCTCTCAGGTCTGGAACTCTTCCAAATTAATTCTTCCTCAGGAGTGCCTAAGGACAAATGGCTACATTTTCTCTCCTCCTGTCTATGGTAACAGCAAACTCTTCTACATAATGACTAATCATGAGTTTGCTAACTGAACATAAAGTGTTTTCAGTTTTGCAGTATCAGGGTCTTGTTAAGTTCACATTTTCCAAGAACTGCATGAATGGGAAGTAAGTTTCACAATTCAGTAGTGTATAACATCTATATTAGTTTTTCCTTAGTCGGTTTCCCCCAGATTGATGGCGTTACCACAGCATGTGACCTTTCACTACTGTCCAACTAACTGCAAGAGGATTCTTTTTCAATGACTAGGCCTTGTTGATAATGGTAAACCATCAATGCATTCTATCATTCACCAGCCTTAACTTGGGTCCCAGGTACACCACTGGTGATAGAACTCATAGTTACTCATTATCTACATAAGTTCTTTCCATTACAAATGATAAGGAGAGCTATTATTTAGTGATCTCCTACTTATAGTTTTTCCCAGGGAAAAATAAAAGTAGCCTATGCTGGGCAAGGTGGCATATGCCTATAACTTGAGAGGTTGAGGCAGGAGGATCATGTAAGCCTAGGAGTTCAAGAGTTCAAATTTGAACTGGGCAACATAGGAGATACTATCTCAAAAAAAGTAAGTAGCCAAATACGTGCTAGACAGTTGTGAGTCCTCCCAAATTCTGAGAATTTGCTTGGAGTGAGAAACCAATTCTGTCTGACTTGAGTAAGAGTATCTGTCTCATTCCAGTATGTATTTCCTTCTGGTCTCCTTCCAGGATCTCAATCAGGGCAGAGGAATCATGTACAGAAATTATTGCAGATATATCTAAGGTTCTTATGAATTTCTGAAGAGTTGAAAGGCTCCTAAGAATGACAGAATAACAGAGAGGGAAGGGATCTTAAAAAAAGATCCCTTCTCATTGCTACAAGAGATAAAGACCCGCGATGGGGAGTTAAAAGATTTCATAATTTCAAGAGAATGAGATTCCATCTCTGGCTGGAGAATTAAAAGATTGACAAGTGCCAGTTATTACAAATGAGGAGTGAGCTGAAAATCTACTTATTTTCCACACCCAAGAGTTTCCATTTTTTCCTTCCTCAGCTCCAAATGCCCTACTCTGCAATGTCTCACACCAGTCCCTTGAACTTTCTTGTAACTTCTCGCAGGCTTGTGTGATCATGTTGCTCTTGTTCCCTCCCCCTGCCTCCTTTGCTGTTCATTCTCATATTCTCTTAGTGACTCTTCTCCCTGTCAAAGTCATTCTCTTGTGTTTTGCTATACTCACGTCTTTGGAATTACTAACCAATGTCATGACTTTCATCATCACCTATGTCTGGATGAATTCCAAATATCCCTCATCCTCATCAACCTCCCATTCCCTCCCTCTCTCCTGTCTCTCTCCCTCTGTCCTTCTCGGTCCCTCTCTCTCTCTCTAATGCAAATGTCTTACCTGAGTCTCACCTTTTTTTCAATTTCTATCTTTAGCTGCCCCTCATCCATACACTGTTCCTGGGCCACAGGCCTCTTTTACTAGGTTGAGAAGGACCTTATCTACTAGGGACTGGATCCATCTCAAAAAATGATGGCTCAATTATAGCTCAAAAGCTAGAGGTAAATTATAGCTCAGAACTATTACAGTTCTCTTGACCTAACTTTGAATATACCATGTTTTGGGGCTCTGCTGAACATACACCTCCATCAGGGTTGAATTTCTGGGACTTTCTGGCAGTTGTTTATATCAAGTCAACCAGGAAAAATTCTCACCAAGAATCACAAGAACCAAGATAATTTGTTGATATTTTGCTTTCCTGTTGTTTTGTCATTTGTGGACTCTCCAATTCACCTGATTAGAATTATCTTAATTTCATAAATCATAAGGACATAACAGGTTTAGATAATAGGTTACAGGTCCAATAATAGATAACAGGTTTAGAAGAAATAACTTCTTTCTAATAATTAAAAGGAAAACTATAGATTATTGCTAATTATGTTGCCCGGACCATATAAATGATGCATAACATCTTCCCAGAAGGAGAAGAGAAGATAGGTCATTTAAAACTAAGATTACCTATCAATCAGTATAAGTCCAAAAATAACATATTAGAAACAGAGGCCAGTAGTTTTTCACAGTGGCTCTTTTAAGACTCTTACTAAGTACCTTGAAATCACTTTTTTTTAACTGTGCTGAGAATTAGCACCAGAATGATATACTTAAGATGAAGCATGATTAACAAAGATGACTGCAAAGAGAGCGTACAAATGTATGTGGACTGCCCAAAGCATTCCACTGTCATTTGTGATAATGCACAGACCACAGGAACTCATAGCCAAATTTTTCATTTCTTTGGGATGTGAGCCATATCTAAGAAATTTAACTTGGAGTACTGAGGTAACTTCTACATTAAAGAAAGGTTTATGGGATCTTTAATGTCTAGATACAGCTCTGCTTCTAAGGTTTCAGCCAGAAGACTGCCACCAGGCAATGAGCTACACAATATTCAATTTATCCACTTTGGAAGGATGACTCAGGGCTACTGGGATTTGGATGTGTGGCTCCAGTTAGTCTAGCTGTGTACTGCTGACAGGGAGACCACTAAGCCTTCTCCTTCCAGCCAGATGGGTTTCCATTTAAAGTCTGCAAATCCGGGGGGATGTGAAGCAGGGAGTAACACGATCTCAGCAATCATCATTTAGTGTGCAGTTAATCAGGTAGTCCAAAACCAAGTCAGACATCAGTATAACTGCCCTGCTCATATCATCTATCCAAGATGGCTCATCATGGGCACACTGTTAAAGTCATGTGACTGATAAGACCCATCAATTCATGCAGGCAAGCAACAGTGTCTGAACCCTTCCTACCTGCCAGGTGTTGCAGTAGGCATTAGGAATACAAAGTGCAAAAGATGCAAGAGGCCTACAGGCCAGGAGGGAGAAAGGTTAAGTACACAGGCAATTCCAATAGAGTAAGTGGTAAGTGCCAGGACACAGGAATGGCAGCTTCTCCTGGAGCACACAGGAAAGCACTTAAACAGATCTGAGAGTGACACGGAAAGTTTCCAGAAAAAAGGGAGTCCACACTGAGACCAGAAGGATAAATTGGACATAGGAGAACAGTCATGAAGACCTCTAAGATGCCCTATAGGACCACTAATCTAAGAGTTATCACAGGGATGCCTTTTCTTAGTAAGCCCACCTCCACCTGACTTCCATTTCTACTCCAAGTATCCTCCCAAAGTGCTAATGTGCAGCTTATATTAATTTGTTGCACATACTTTGGTTTTATATGCATAGAGTTCATCAATACTAAAAATAACTTATATTTGCATAGTGTTTTCAAATATTTTATCACAGTCAGTCCTCAAAACAATTCTATAAAGTCAATAGATCAAATTTTATTATTGCCTCCAAAATCCAAAAAAGGAGATGAAAGAATCACATCTTCTAACTGCCCAGTTCTAGACTATATCATATGATCCTAAAAATGTCTACTTTTCTACCTACCCCAAGAGACTGTAATCCTCTTAGGGTCAGAAACGACCTTCAGTATGGTTGTATCTCCAACACCCTAGCACATGAGTATGGGAACTCAATCAACATTTGTTGAACTACCAGTTTACCTTCTCTATGAAGCTATCCCTGATCCACCCTGCCTCCTACTCCCAAAAGGTCAGAAGAAACAACTTGATGCCTAGTGATAAATGCGCAGGTTTTAGAGCCTCACCAAGCTGGATTTACATTTTAGCTCTACCACCTGTCAGTGACATGCCTTAGGGCATGTCACATCCCTCTCTGAGTCTTAGCTGATGATGATAAAATCTACTTAATAGAAAGTCTATGAGGGCAGCATCTGGCCTATACTCCTTTCTGATGACTGCTGACAATTTGTTAGTTGTCTTTATTTAACTAGTTATATTTGTTGTTTCATGCCTATATCCCCCCAACTGGAAAGTGGACTCTGGAAAACAGGGATTGTGTTAGTCATCTTCATATTTCTAGAGGCAGGTTCAATGCTTTACAAATACTAGACATTCAGCAAATACCTGGAGAGAGAAAATGAGCCAAGCTTTACCTTTGCCTAGCAAAGTCAGCACTGATTTGGTGTTCGATAAATACTGCTGACCGACAGATTGTGCAATTTAAGTCCAAATAAAGGATGCAGAACTGCAGGCAGGCTTGGCCTCTGTCATTTGCTGAGAAGGAATATTCCAGTGCCTCTCACCCACCTAACAGCCAGCACTTTGTATTTGCGGAATACCTTGTTAAGGAGGTACACATATGAGCCCAAGTGTCACAATCTGGTTGTGTAACAAGGAAGCTAAGGAGGGCAGAAGTAGAAAGCTCAACTGGACTCAGCCCCAAGGTTCTCAGATTCTGTATAAAATAATGCAAAAACTGCCTTCTAGTCACTTTAGGCATTCTCAGGAGGAAGGTATTTACAGAGCCCTCAAGCTGCTGCCTCCTTGACTGAATTCCAGTGCTATCATCAGTGCACCCCAAGGGCCTCACCTTCATCAGTAGTTCCCGGCTGGTCAAATGATTATTATGGTCTGAGAAGATTTCTGAAAGTTCTTCAAACATCAGCATTCGGTCCCTGTGAAGGGGGATTAAGAAAATAATAGCAATGAAGAGTTAAGAATGACCCGACACCCTGGGTCCAGCTGTCCTCAGGACCTAGGTCTATGGAGGGACCGTACAGATCTCAGCATTGGTGCATGATGTGAACACAGAAGAAGTCAATGACTTTTTATGCTTGTGGCTTTTATCTTTTTTTTAAGGTGGACACGGCCAGCTGTTTAAGAGAGGTATATTTTCTAAGCGTGCATGTTATAATCATGAAAGGATTATTCAGTTGGGGCATGTTCAAGTGGGACACGCTCTCTTCAGGCAAGTTAAAAAACAATCAGCCCAGAGAGACCAGAGAGGTCACTTTGGCTGGGCCCCTAATTTTCTTTTTTCTTTCTTTTTAATTTTAGAGTTGTAGGGTACAAGTGAGGACTTATTACACAAATCACATGCATGTGAGGTTTGGGTTTCTAGTGGGCCCTCTCTCCCTCGATGGTAGACCTGGCACTCTGCATGTAGTTGTGTACCCCTTACCTTCTTCCCTCCCTCCCTCCTTTAGCAGTGTCCAGCACCTGTTGTTCCCACCTTTGTGCTCATGTGACCAGTGGGTCCCTAGTTTTTTAGATGAAAATGCTAAGGCCAGAGATTTGTTCAAGTCTCCACTAGTGACTGCAGAGAGTTGCAAGCAGAGAACTCAAATTTTCTGAATCACAGGCCAGCATTCTTCTTCTCAGACTCAGAACAGAATGGGGGAACCAGAAGAGGCTCTAAAACCAGAGCAGTCTCAACTCTGCCACTCTAATCCGAGTGATCTTAGACAAGTTACTTAAGCTTCAAAAATTTTCTGATCTGTACAATGAAAATACAGCAGCTGCCTCATGGGACTGCTGTGAAAGGAAATGCGATCACAGATGTACAGCACTAGCTCTGCCCTTGCCCCTTTCTCAGAGGCACACTACCTCTCCACAAGCCCTGTGCTTGTCTCTGCACTCTATTCCAGGGTGGCTGAGTGAATGGTCTGAAGGCTGAGAACTAACAGGGGCAAGATCAGGAGGAATTTAATGTCCTTACAGGGAGGAAGGCAGAAGGGTGAGAGACTGTGAATGGGTTTAGCCTCTTTTATAAGGGCCTTAGCCCCACTCACAAGGGAGGAACTCCTCATAGCTCAATTGGCTCCTAAAAGTCCCATTTCTTAATACACCACATTGGCAACACCTGAATTTTGGTGGGGGGGACATATTCAAACCATAGCAAGATCCTCTGCAAATTATTTTCACTGAGGAAAATGGAAACAGCCCTCCCATAAGTTGACCTCTAACCCACCACAGAGCCATAGACCGCAATTTACTTTAGTACGTGGTCTGTCTCACAAGATGCACATTCTGTCAAACACACACAGAAAATTTTCACGTAGTCATGTTCTCATATTGAAAAAACTGAGTTCTATAATTCAAAACTAGTGCTTGTTTATCCTGCAAATGTCATAGCTTTTCTTTCTTTTTCAAAAAGCCGTTACTAAGAGTGCCTGCTTATTTTACAATGAGTGTAATATTACTCTGATAATAAAGAAAACTATTAAAGCTACTTATATTTTAGAGAAAATAATTAAGGACTTAATTACATGTGACCCTAAATAAAGAGAAATAAATAGGTGTCCTCTCTCTCTACTAAAAGCTAGAAATGTAAAGGATTATAGGGAAAATGATAACCAAATAAAATATCTTTAACCCTGGACCTTGAATTTAGCAATGGAGACCATGTTATGCTGATATGAAAATGTCTTCTCCAAGAAACTGTGACACTTTTGTAAACCAACCAACCAACCAAGAAACAGACCAGATACCCATACTGTACAAAATGCAGCTTTGAGGGGTTTTTGTTTTTTAAAAATAGTTTAAAATGCCAGTTAGAAAAACAGACCTTTTCATATGACAACCAAGGATATTAACGTATGAATCCACTAGTTCTTTTTACTTGTGTTTTAGCCTCAAACTTGCTTGGATGAAATCTTTGGCTGGCCAGATGACTTTCCTTTATCAACCTCTAAGGGCAGACAGGATTACCTTTCACTGCAGTCAGACAAGGCTGCAATCAATTGGGCAAGGCTGAATTTTAGCACCTGACTGTCCCTTTGTTTTTGATACTATAGTTGGGTGGGGCGTGATGAGGGGAGGAAGAGGAAAAGTGGAGGTGTGGACGATGAGGATGGTATACGCTTTGTGGACTACAAGGACACAGTACACTACTGTGGAGGATGAGGGCAGTGTATGCTTTGTGGACTATGAGGGCAGTATGTGCTTCTGTGGACAGCGCATGCTTCCAATTTTCCCACCATGTTTCCCCAGGGCCTATCATCTAATGATTTTATACGACCTCTATCTTTCATAAGATGTATGTGTGGAAGAAAATCACCCAATCTCTCTTTCAGATATAGAGTCACCTTCATTAGTCAAAAGAATGAAAAGAAGAAAGAACCCAAGAAAAGAGTGGTAATAAAGAAAATTGCATTGAACTTTGGAAAGCTTATCTGCCAGTTTTTCCACTGATAGATAACAGTGCCATAAACAAAGCACAAGCTTTGGAGTACAGTGGCTCCTACGGTTCTGTAACGAGAGGCAGTACGAACAGCCACTTTAATGTTTTCTTTGTACCCATCAAAGAAATATCTAATAAATAATTTGGCTTCCCCCAAGTAGATTATCCCCTGTATGAGAATATGAGATTATCAGTAGGCTTGAGTACTCTGGCACTCATTTTTGAGCATAAAAACGAAACTCTGGTTGACCAATCTGGGTGTCTTGCAAGTTTGAACAGTGTCAGTCCTTTAGGGTTTAATAATAACTCCTAACAAATCAATGAAACTGAGAAACTAGACCTTCCTCTCTGAGGACAACCCCCTCCCCCCCAC